GACAGACAGACAGACAGACAGACAGACAGACAGACAGACAGACAGACAGACAGACAGACAGACAGACAGACAGACAGACAGACAGACAGACAGACAGAAAGAAAGAAAGAAAGAAAGAAAGAAAGAAAGAAAGAAAGAAAGAAAGAAAGAAAGAAAGAAAGAATAACAGGTGTGGGGCAGGAACAGTGCCAAGACCTGACTGGTCACTCAGTGACAGACTTTGATGGAGCTTCCAGGTTTGCTCCCACCTGAAGGTGCTTTCTATAGTGAGACACTGAGTGAAATGTGAAAAAGAACACAAAGTTTAGAGTCACGGTTGGAAGGTTTAGCTTCTGTTTACCTCTTTATCTGTGTCGCTGTACTCTTTGACTTTCTCCACAGCCACGATGTTGGTCTCCACATCAGAAGACATCCTGACCAGCCAGGTCAGTGAGGCGGTCAGCTGGACAATGAGGAGGAGGAGGGGTAGCAGCATGAAATCAGGAAAACTTTTTAACAAATATACAAACAGCAAAAACACTAGGTAAGTATTAGATAAGATTTCCTCCACACCAAAACAACATTATTATAAAAAACTAACTAGAACAGCAGAAATAAATGGCTGCTGGATCGCTCTGCCTTTCCTTTTTTAAACATTTCTAATCAGCGCTCAGACTCGGTGACTATAGAAACTGAGACACTTTAATTTTTGCAGAGTTTGATCATAAAAGATCAACTAAAGTCAAGTTTCAACTCACTGGGTGAACAGAGTTAACAGGTCAGTTTCTAAATTGTCTCTAAATTTGGAGGGTTCTCCGTTTCCTCTGGTGAACTGCTGCAGAGCCTCACAAGTTTACTTAACGTGAACTAGTTTTTAAATCAGAGAAAAGACCTGTGAGAGAAACATCTGAACCATTTAAACGTACATATTTCTGTCAGAGACGTGATCGTGTTCAAAAAGATAAACTAAACAACTCAGTTCATTTAAGATCAAAATACACTTACTGTTACGGTACTTTAATTAGACCTCACACAGAAATACTGAACCGCAGTCTAAACGTCAAAAATTTGTACGTTTTTCCACAAGAAAGTTGTGTAACAATGAGGTGGTAGTTGTGTACACCCAGTGAATTCTGTGCAAAATCTGGGCGTCATATGCAAACAGGTGAATTCAGTGTGATTCCAACTCATCACCAGTCATTCTGGTCCTGATTTTACCTGCAGGGCGTAGGAGATGGACAGTCCCATAATGCCTGGACTCAAACTATCTCTGGCTATAACTGCAAACAAAGCCGCGAACGACACGATGCAGTTCCCTACAAACTCCAGGCGGATGGCCAACCACCTGCACAAACCCATCATCAACATGGTTATCAGGTAAAGAAGCGTTAAATCCAACTGTACAACGTGCCAGAAGAGAAGACATGAAAAAAAACTGCTGATAAGAGTCTCTGACCTGTTGGCCACAATGCTGGGGTAGTACGCCTTCTGGTTGTGGTCCACTCTTTTGTCACTCTCACTAATAAACCTGTCCTGTTCACCAAAAGCCCGGATGACGGAGGTGCCCAGCAGTGTTTCGTTGAAGTGTGTGTAGATGGGTGAACGACTGACTGACTCCAGACGCTTCAGCTGCCGAGAACTCGCCACGTAAAACCTCTGGACAGGAAGAGAAATTCATCAGTCAAAAAGGGTTCTCTAACACAGAAACAATCAGTATCTTACCTGTTGTGGATACATCCTTGAACAACCTCAGTTTGAAGAAGTAAAGTTTAATTCTAAAAGAACTGATGAGCTAAAGGCTAAAGTTCATGCAGACAGTTTTTTAACCTTTATGTTGATATTAATTTAGCATTTTCACATAGAATTTTGTAGTTACACAGCAGCAGCTAGCTGTAGCACTTCTGGGGTCACTTCCTGCAGGAAATGCATAATAGTTTTTGGTACAATAACCATGCAAAATGACAGTAGTGTAAAGCTTTAAATATGAGCAGTCACGTGAACTGCTATGACATTTTTAAGACTATAAACTTCCTGTAAGTGGGTCCACTGTTAGCTTGTCAAAACGGGTCAGGTGGACCTTCTTTTAAAGAGGGASTACTGATTTAAACCTTACGTTTCTTCAAGTACCATTACACTGTTCGACTGGCATAAAAATGGTGATTTTCCTGCTACGCCTCACTTCTGCTGCTGCTAGTTGTGTTTGTAAATAACCACAGAACTCCTGTCCTGCAGCCTATAAAGGTTTTTAAAATGGCGCCCTCCTAAACGTCTATAAAACTTTAGAGATCGACGACGTTCAAAAAATGGCAAAGATCCGTTTTAGTCTTAGTTCTGTCAGAATGAAACTATATTTCTCCAAACTCAGGTTGTTCAAAGGACTATCTAAACGGGTAAGTTATTAATTGTTCATAACCTCTCCACAGAACAGCACACAGAATGAACAGAAGGAAACTGAAGACTGGTGTCATCTCTTCAACTAACCTGTACAAAAAAGTAGAGCAGGCCGAGGAAGGGAATGATGATGGCCACCAGCGGTGTGGCGATCAGGATGATAACACAAGAACCCAACACGTTGAACATGGAGCCCAAGAACATTTTAATAATCATCGGGATGACAGAATCGATGGTGTCCATCTCCTTGGCAAAGCGATTAACCAAGTTTCCACTCGGGGTTCGCTCAAAGAAAGACATGGGTGAGCGCAGGACGTCGCACAGCAGGGACTGGTGGAGGTAACGGGAAGCCAGGATGCCCCCGATGGACATGGAGAGGGAGTAACCGAAGACTGCCACACCTGCAGGGCAGCAGAGGAAGTGTAATGAACTGTCATCAGTGTTTCCCCTAGGAAATTGGGCTGGGGGTGTGGGGTGGGGGTTCTTGTTTTATAAAAACATACATTTACGTGACTCACCTGCAATTATGGTAATAAATTTACACATGCATGAATATTTAATTGCCCAACTACATTCTAGTTAAGGACTCCTCATGATAATTATTAATAAAATTCTTATTGATAATAAATGATTAGAACTGTGTAATGGTAGGGGAAACACTGGTCATGTTGAATTACTTAACGATGCTCCTCACCTCATTCCTTCTTACCTTGAGTTAATCCGAGACCACCGTACACCCCCAGCCTCATTAATCTGGTAGGCTGCGTGCCGTTAACCACAGGATCGTCAGTCCACTGGCTCAGCCAGAAGTTGGAGAACAGGGAGACCAGGTGATGGACGAGGAACAGAAGCAGGCTGATGCAGGACAGAACAACTCCTATAGCTTTCAGATAGGCCCAGAAGACAGACAACTTGACCTGAGGAGGGAGGAGAGAGCAAACAAGACACAGCCTACATTCACATCAAGACAGAATAATATAAAAGTTAAGGTCCTGTCTTTAAAAGTGTTCGCCACCTTTGGATGTTTAAATAAAAATATATAACATAAAAAAAGGATTGAACAATTTTTCACCCACTGTTCTAACTCAACTCAGAAAATATTGAAAAATGCAAGTCAGGATAGATACAAGAATTACAAAACCCGAAACATCTCAGGAGTTCAGTTAAATCCATCATCAAGAAATGGAAGGAATATGGAAACGTGTAAATGTACCAGGAGCAGGTCACCCTCACAAACTGAGTGAAGGAGAATAATGAAAGAGACCRCTCAGAAGGAGGTATAGGTGTTTTAGAACCTACAACACAAATAAAGATTTTTGTTTATACCAAGAGGGTCTAAAAGTTTCTTTGAGAAATCCTAAAAATACACTGCAGTGAAAAAACATGAACACCTTATAAATAAATCATCCTAGCTATAAAACTAGTATTTTTGTGTACTATTGTACTACTTATGTCATTATTCACATAATAAATATATTGGTACAAATAAAAAGAAATGGGGGGTGTCATATGACACAAATGGGGGAGTAGCATACATAATCCTAATAAGCAAAAGAAGATTTTAAGCTTTCTGAAAAGGGAACAGGTTCATATTTTGATAAACTCCATAGTTAGTGTTGGTTTCCTGTGTTATTCCTTAGTTCTACTGCCATAGGCTTCAGAGACCTGAGGACTGTAGTGGTTTCTATAGTTCTGTGGAGACGACATGATGGTTTTAGATGAATAAATCTCTGAAGATGAATTACTGACACAAAGATCATGGACCTACCCGCCCAGTGCTGGCCTTGTCTGCTTCAGTCAGCTTTCCCACCTCAGCGTTCTTGGTCTTCTTCATCAGATCCTTCTTGTCTTTGACCTTAGGGGATGTTTCAGATTCTGCACCACTGCACACAAACAGGGATACATACATAACAAACAGAATTAAACATCATCTCATGAAGTAAATGTCACGAGACCCCTGAGAGCAGATACACCAAGTGTGATTGATGACAGGTCAGAAGACAATGCTGTTGGATTTAACCTGTTGTTATTCCACAGAGGGAGCGAGGGTCCAGCATCACTGTCTGAGAATCAGTTCACAGCTGCTTCAGATTATAATGTTGAAACAACATTAAGATTTAAAATACAGGACATATAGAACACGTTGTGATAAAACTTCTAAATACTGAGATTTTATTTTGGTGATTGAATCCAGCTCCTGTGAATGATGTTTCAATGTAATGCTAACTGGCCGTGCTGCTAGCCACCACAATGCTAACATTGTGTAACAAATAATGGCTGCTTGCGCAACACTGCCAGAAACTAAACAGATATAAAAGAAAGAGAAAATCACAGATAGAGTTTGGGTGTCTTTAATTTTCAAACCTGCTAATGTGCAGACACAACAAATCTACACTGATTTGAAGTATCCTCTGAGTCCACGTAACTTCAGAGTTCAGTTTCACTCACCCAACAAGAGCAGGAACAGCTCCGTTCTCCACTGCTTTAGTCCCACTCTTTGGCACAGATTCTAAATACAGGCAGGAAATAAAGTTTAAATGATGGAGACATGAATGTAGAAATATTTCAGACTCAAAAACAGTAAAACATTATAAATAACATTTCTGTCAGACCTTCCTTGTGGAAAAGAGAAGACTTTACTTTCCCTTGTTCCAAGACATTTAAAGTTAGAAACCTAGCGGGGAAAGTGTTGCTCACCACTGTCTTCACTTTGGTCAACAGTGGCGTACGTCCGCAGGAACTCAGCAAAAGCTCCCTCTTTGGCCATGAGCTGCTGGTAGGAGCCCACCTCTGTGATCTGTCCCTCCACCATGACCAGGATCAGGTCGGTCTGAGGCAGGTAGCTCAACCCGTGGGTCACCAGCACACGGGTCTGTGCACAGTTAACACATGCAAAAATAATTAAAGCTCCTTAAAGAGCTAACATCTTTAAAAAGGCACGAGAGTTCAACTGGATATTTACATTTCAGGCTGAGTACTAGTTTATGATGGAATAAAATATTAAACAGGATTTTTCAGCAGTTATGTTGGATGTTTCCCCCAAGAACAGTAATTGTCTTATAATGGTCTAAATAAGTTTTCTCTGCAGGTAGCTGGACTCTCTCTCAGAGATAGGGTAAGAAGTTCAGTTATCTGGGAGAAACTCAGTAAAGCTAATGATTATTTGCTGTAATAAATATAAACAAAATGAAGGTAAGGGTGTAGATGATGAGATTTAGTTAATATAAGGTGAGCCTGAGAATACTGTTAACAGATGACACAAATTACTTACAACCTGGCTGATATGCATCCCATCAATTGTTTAATTTTGAAAATGATTATCCAAAAAAAATAAGAACAAACAAAAAAAAAAAACCAAAGGTTGATTTAGGTTAGTGAAGCTGGTGCTCACCTTCTCTTTTAGCAGTCCCTGTGGGCCAACGACATGGTCGAAGATGTGTTTTCCTACATGAGCGTCCACAGCGGACAGCGGGTCGTCCAGTAGGTAGACGGCTCGGTCACAGTAAACTGCCCGGGCCAGGCTCACCCTCTGCTTCTGACCTCCAGACAGGTTCACCCCCTGTACACACCACAGGTATGATTTAAACGAGCACAACCTCCAAGACAACTGACTTAACTCTGGTTAAGCTCACAACACCATGGTTTTTCATGGCATTTTTTTAATCTGCGTTTGAATATAGACAACTTAAATTATCATCCATCATGAAGCACTCAGCTCCATCATCATCATCATCATCATCATCTAAATGTTAACGATACCTTCTCTCCAATCTCAGTCTCTTCACCAGCAGGGAGGACCTCCAGGTCAGGTTGGAGGGCGCAGGCCTCCACCACATGATGGTACCAATCCTCCCTCTGCTCCTGACCAAATATGATGTTCTCTTTCAGTGTAGAGTTCTGGATCCAGGCCTGCTGGGGAACGTAGGCCACAGAACCCTGCAGAGCAACACACACAGAAACAACACTATAACATTACAGCTAGGCCTGGGTGGTATGAAGGTATTTTGTTGTTGTTTTTTGTTTATATTCCATATACCGCTGTATTTTCTAGAGGTCATACCGTGGTATGAAAATGAGAAATGCTGCCCAACCCTAATTACAGCATCTTCTTTGAAGAAACTGACAGATTTTTATTATTACAAGACTTATGGTGCGTTCACACCGAACGCGATTTCAGCTTCAAAATCGCAGCCAACGCTGAAGATTGAAGCTTGTGCACTTTGAGGTCAGACGCAGGACAGCTCTTGAAGCGCTGCACGGCAAGAGCCTCCTCGCCCCTCCCTCCTCTGTCGGACGAGGAAGTGGCTTTGCTTTATTTACAGAGAGCAAGAGCATGTCACATTCATCAGATAATTAATTCATAATTAATTCACCAGATAATTCAGAGTAGAGGCTCACAGCTYGCTTTCAGGACTATTTTTCCAGTCTGATGAGTCGCTGCCACGCATTGCTGCGGATCAGAACACAGGCAGGCACTCGATTTCAGCTAAAGAGCTCCGCTCCATCTGTTTCAGGTTAGTGGACATCATTCAATAAACTGTCCCGTCGGGAAATAAGTCGCTATGTCACACAGTGGAGTCTCTCTGATTGGTTGACGTAGCGCGTCGAGCTGCAAAAGTTCAGATTTTCTAACTTCAGCGATTTGCGCCTCAGCRCGTCGAACGCTCAGATCGTTCAAATCGTTCAAATCGCGCTGCTCTAATCACGCTTGAGGCGCCGCAGCACTTCCCGACGCTGATTGAAGCGCGTCCACCATAGACTTTGTATGTAAACCTGAGGCTCCTGATGCTGAAATCGTGTTTGGTGTGAACGCACCATTAAACTGCTGACTTTACTCAGTGTTTGAACATGATGACAGAGGTTAGAGAAGTTGAGCCGGTGTTCGGTAGGTTGTGGGTTCAAACCCCTGGACCCTAAATATCTTTACTGAGGGTCTAGTCCCATGTCACTTGGTGGTCAAGTCCACCTAGCGGTGCACTTTTTCAGCACTGGTTTTGTTTGCTTGCTTCTATGTTTTTGCTTCTATGTTTCATGAGAGTTTTTCTGCTGCATTTGTGTTTGTTTTGGAGTTTGCATCACTCAGATGTTTGCAGCACATTTAGTCGTTTGCTGCTCTTTTTCACCTGTCGGCCAGGGTAGTTTACTATTTCTTTAGTTGACATTTCTTGGCACACATTCTAATTAWAACATTTAATTTAATATATTTCTGTATTAATTAAACTAGTAAGTGAAATACTGGTGACTGATGCTGAGGAAAAGGAAAGTGAATAATTAATTATAACGTCTATCTTTGTAAGAGATGATGAGTTTTAAGTATGAGTATATACTTTTAAATTACTAAAATTATTTTATGTTTTGGAGTCTTGTCATTTTATTCTGTTAGGATTAAATTACTTGCAGGGTTGGGTTTTTACGTTCTAATAATGAGTCAGTCAGTTCAGTAGTGTGATACAGTGGTTTGCAAAAGTATTCATACCCCTTGAACTTTTCCATATTTTGTCACATTACAACCACAAACATAAATATATTTCACTGGAATTTAATGTGAAAGACCAACACAAAGTGGTATACAATTGTGAAGTGGAAGCAAAATTTTACATGAATCAAAACATTTTTTACAAATAAAAAACTGAAAAGTGCGACGTGCAAAAGTATTCAGCCCCCTTTTCCCTGAGTGCAACCAATTGCATTCAGAAGTTGCCTGATGACTGCTAATGACTCAAAAGGGTCCACCTGTGTGTAATCTAATCTCAGTACAAATACAGCTGCTCCGTGACGGCCTCAGATGTTGGTTAAGAGAATATTGGGGAGCAAACAGCATCATGAAGTCCAAAGAACACACCAGACAGGTTAGGAATATGGTTTTGGAGAAGTTTAAAGCAGGCTTAGGTTATAAAAAGATTTCCCAAGCTTTGAACATCTCACAGAGCACTGTTCAATCCATCATCCGGAAATGGAAAGAGTATGGCACCACAGTAAACCTGCCAAGACAAGGCCGTCCACCTAAACTTACAGGCCGAACAAGGAGATCACTGATCAGAGAGGCAGCCAAGAGGCCCATGGTGACTCTGGATGAAATGCAGAGAGCCACAGCTCAGGTGGGGGAAACTGTCCACAGGACAACAATTAGTCGTGCACTACACAAATGTGGTCTTTATGGAAGAGTGGCAAGGAGAAAGCCATTGTTAAAAGAAAACCATAAGAAGTCCCGTTTGCAGTTTGCCAGAAGCCATGTTGAGGACACAGCAAACATGTGGAAGAAGGTGCTTTGGTCAGACGAGACCAAAATTGAACTTTTTGGCCACAATGCAAAACGCTATGTGTGGCGGAGAAAGAACACTGCACATCACTCTGAAAACACCATCCCCACTGTCAAATATGGTGGTGGCAGCATCATGCTCTGGGGGYGCTTCTCTTCAGCAGGGACCGGGAAGTTGGTCAAAGTTGATGGGAAGATGGATGGAGCCAAATACAGGGCAATCTTGGAAGAAAACCTGTTGGAGTCAGCAAAAGATTTGAGACTGGGGCGGAGGTTCACCTTCCAGCAGGACAACGACCCTAAACATAAAGCCAAAGCTACAATGGAGTGGTTTAAAAAAAAGAATATTCATGTGTTAGAATGGCCCAGTCAAAGTCCAGACCTAAACCCAATTGAGAATTTGTGGCAAGATCTCAAAACTGCTGTTCACAAACGCTCTCCATCCAATCTGACTGAGCTTGAGCTGTTTTGCAGGAGGAATGGGCAAGAATTGCAGTCACTAGATGTGCAAAGCTGGTGGAGACATACCCTAAAAGACTTGCAGCTGTAATTGCAGCAAAAGGTGGCTCCACAAAGTATTGACTCAGGGGGGCTGAATAATTTTGCACATCGCACTTTTCAGTTTTTTATTTGTAAAAAATGTTTTGATTCATGTAAAATTTTGCTTCCACTTCACAATTGTATACCACTTTGTGTTGGTCTTTCACATTAAATTCCAGTGAAATATATTTATGTTTGTGGTTGTAATGTGACAAAATATGGAAAAGTTCAAGGGGTATGAATACTTTTGCAAACCACTGTAAGCCAGCTTCTTAATGTGTGTGTGTGTGTTGGGGGGGTGTATTTTGTGATATGAGAGCCAGTTTAAGACAAAACACCTACACGTGGGGACCTAAGCCAAGTCCCCGTTTGGTTTAAATGCCATTGGTGGGAGCAAGGTGTGAATTGAGTTTAGGTTAGTTTTAGGGTAGGTGGTCAGGGTTAGGCTGTAGAAATGTAACGGAAGTCAATGTAATGTCCCCATATGTATAAGTAGACACGTTTGTGTGTGTGTGGATGGGTTTTTCCTACGTGGGGAAAATTTTACCAAAAAAACAGCACCATGGGGACCACTGCCAGGTCCCCATGGGTCCAAATGCAAATTACAGGTGTGGGGTTAGTTTTAGAACCAAGGTTTGGGTTAGTTTTGGGGTAAGGTACCTGTGAGGTTAATTTTAGGGTAAATTGTCAGGGTAAGGCTATAAAGTCTAAAAATAATGAATGGAAGTCAATGCACGGTCCCCATGGGGTTTAAGAACAAACGTGTGTGTGTGTGTGTGTGTGTGTGTGTGTGTGTGTGTGTGTGTGTGTAAAAGTATAACCTTGACAGCCACACTTCCTTCCAGTTTTTCCATCTCTCCAAGAAGAGCAGAGAGCAGCGAGGACTTTCCTGAACCAACGTGACCGACCACAGCCACCAGAAAGCCTTCTGGGATACACACATTCAGCCTGCAGACACGCACACACAGTTCCCTCGGTTCACTTCACAAATGTCCAAGAGTATTTTTTTTATTCATCAAATACTTATATATCAGTGTTTTCATGTTTTATGCCCAGACTTAAAAAGTCAAAAACAATAATAAAACAGAATTCTTAACCATTAAAAGGTTTATAAAAGAACAAACCTCTTCAGTGTCGGGGATTCAGCTCTGGACCAGCTGAAGACACCATCCACTATAGAGATACTCTGAGGGGCTGGAAAACATGGACAGGTAAGAAATGAAAAGATGAATAAATCCATAAACTTGCACCTCAGCCAGGTGTAGTAGAAGGACATTTTATTGTCAAAGAAACAATCCCCTCCAAAAGTATTGGAACAAATTATCTTCTGGTAAATAACTTAATATTTGGTGGCAGAACCCTTGTTTGCAATGTGTGCCTCTATCCTGTGACCCATCGACATCACCAAACTGTTGGATTCTTTGCAAACAAGTTCACCACTGAAATGTGGAGGTTGTTGGTGATGTCACTTACTGATGTTTTTTTCTTCACAGCTCACAATATTTCTGTCATCAACTCCTATTGTTTTCCTTTGCCCACATGTTGGACGTGTGCTGCTCAGTTAGGGCTGCAATGATTAATCGACAACTAATTGATTATTAAAATAATCTATGACTAATTTAATAATCGATTAATCGTTTTCTTTTTTTTTGTTCTTTACCTTGTTTTTCTCTCCAAACTGCTTTGACACCTTCCACTGCCACATCTGCCTTTCTGTCCTTGACACACATGCACAGTAGTGGTAACTGGGGTAGGCCGTGGACGTCACAAGACATTATACAGACAGGCTCTGGTATCATGGCTACC